GAGTGGCCTGCTTCTAGCTATCAAGTGTCCAGATTACAGGCTTTCTGTGTTATTTTCTTAATATTGATTTTCTTCTTCAATTAGATTATAACTGATTATGGCGTTATATGCTGAGTTTTAAGGAAAAATGAAAAACCTCAAGGAAAAAAAATTCATTTTTCCATTTTTCAAAGTTAGATTAAATGGACACCTTGCGTGTTTCTAACCATTCTGGCTTCTGCATTTACTTTGCAGCAGTCCAGAGTCAAGCGGCCTGCAGACAGGCACCCAATGCGCAATTAATCCTTGGATGACATTTATGAGTTTATAATCCTGACAAACATATTTCACATTGAGGACTTTTGTCCATTGCACAGAAAACTATTCCAAGCTGCTCACTATAACTGATGGAAGAGGAAGAAAAAGCCACAATTCGAAAAGAAAGTGAATGAGTTCATTTCTATTTCAAGTTTTTTTTTTTAAAACTACCTTTTCACATGTTTCTTTGTAATATGTATTTTTGTCTTATAAATGAAAAATGCTAAAGTTGATGTGAAAGCCAAAAAAAAGTGTTTTAATGTTGCTGCTTTTGCCTAGCCTGGGCAACACATTGAGATTATGTCTCAAAACAAAGCAAAGCAAAACAAAACAAAAACCCTCAACCATTCTACTGCTCAGAGTAGCTATCATTTGTACTGATGATCCAGCAAGCAATTACGATTTTGAGGCAAGAAAGAATAATTACAGAGTCATTTCATTTTCTGAATCTACTTTATATAAAGAAGATTTGGGCAGAAGTGGAGAAGCCACCACTTTCTTTCTGCATGGGAATATGTAGTTATACTTCACACATTTACTATAGCAATTTACAGGGTTGTTAATCTCTTTTCCTAAACAAGGAAAGTTAATGATACATAGATTATGATAACAGTTAGAGTAACCCTCCCGTTTCAAGTAATATTCGACTTGTAATAAACTCCGCTGATTTCTCTTATGAGACACATTTCAAATAATTAATATGGCTCCCTGTTGAGGGGAGATGTTGTTGCTCCCAGCGTTTTCCTGACTAACGGCAGAGACAGGAGAGCTGCTGTAATGTACACAGTCCCTCAGAATGGTAACTAAGAATATTGCACAGCCACTAGCCAGGCTTCAGTGCAGCACTTAAAGCACTATTATAAAAGAATAAGTTACCAGTTGTGCACAGTTAGCAGTCCATGTTTAATACTGTTTATTAAAAAGTTCAGATTATCATAATTATAAAACCACCTGTTCACCTACACTACACTGTAGACTGTAAAAATATTTCTTTTTTAAAGTCTTGTTTCATGGATGTATGAATCAGTTTGAAATGCTAGTTCCTGTAAATAAAAATAATCTATCATTCACTTGATATTTGCTCAAAATAACCTCACTATATAAAGTAATATTGATTTCATGTCTATTACTGGAACAAAGCTTTCACCACATATGACAAGAGCTACAAGGCAGCTACACGTATCCAGCCTCCACCATGAAGATTATATGCAGTGTTAATGTGTATATATTCTTAAACCTAAGAAACGAGCATAGATGAATATAGATGAGTTAGCAACTTTGAGCACCTGCAACCATTAAATAGCAAGGCCAGAGATATTTTGATCCAAATGTGATGTTTTAATTTACCAAAGTGGTTTTTCTTCAAAGAAAGTCTCAGTATAGTAAATCTTGGAAACACACACATATTTTACACATGAAACTTTGAACTTTTGGAATTGTCATCCTTAAATTCAGGTTGAAAGAAAATAGGCGATGTCAAATTTGCTTCCATTCTGGACAGAGGTAACACCTTGCACACCTACCGGCACCAAGGCAAGGGTTATTGGTGAGCAAATACTGAAGCTGGTTTACTGTCACTCTCATCCTCTCTCCAAGGGGAAATCTAGCAAAGTGCAAGATGGAGTGGGGGCAGGGAGCCTGGGAGGCTGGAACTGACACTTGTAGGGAGGTGGGAAAGACAAGCAAGTTTCTAATTTGCTGATTGATAGTTCTGACTTGGATAAAAGACAGAATAATTTTGGAACTTGTTGCTGACTGATCAACATTAATCAAACTCTTTGAAAGGATTTTTACTTCACTTTAGATTGTTGGTACTGACATTTATCTTCACAAAAATACATGAAAAAAATTATGCCTATTTTCCTTTGTGGTTAACTAAGGCTCTTCGGGGAGTGTCTATCAGAGCATGCAAGAGGATTGTGCAGTTTGAAAAATCACAACTGACTCTGCAAGTTCTCTTCTCCTCATTAATAATCACTGTAAACATTTAAAATCCAACAACTATCTAAAAACAATTAAAACATTAATAAAGTCCACAATCATTTCTCTTACATTTTATGGTGAATAATTTCGGATAAAGGATGTGATCAGGGTTGGACTGGAGTTTATTGGTAGAGTGTTTGACTAGGGTGCTTAAGGCCTTGCATTTGAGGCCAGTACTCCATTACACAACACACACACACACACACACACACACACACACACACACAAATAAATAAAAAAGGTCAAGTCAAAAGAACTTCAGGAGGTAAAAAGCATGATGAACACATCTTGTTTTACAAAGATTTGAGACGACTGTTCTTCTATGAATCCCATCTGCCAAGCTCTGCTGCCTCATACTGTATTTGCCTGGCCCCTTGAATTCCAACTAATATCCTCAAATACGTGATGTCTGTACCTAGTACTACTCTTACTTTTCAAACTGAAAGATATATTTTTCTGTTCATAATTATCCTGAACTTTATTTAACTTTTTCCCTGAATTTTGAAGAAATAAGATACTATTGAGATTTTAATTTCAGTTACATTAATTATAATTCAGAGAATAACATTTAAAATTTTGACCATATATTTAAAATAAAGTTCTATCATTTTTAAGTTGTTAGGGTTTTAAATTGTATTCATTTATTTTTATTTTATGTGTATAACTGTTTTGCCTGCATGTATGTAAGTGTACCTGTGTTGTACAATGCTGGTAGAGGTCAGAGAAGAGCTGGAACTGGAGTTATGGATGGTCGTAAGCTGCTATGTGGATGCTGAGAATGAGATTGGGGTCCTCTGGAAGAGCAGCTAGTGCTTTTAACCTCTGAGCCATCTCTCTAGTGCCCTAGTTTTCAGGTTTTTAGGACAGTATCTCATGTAGCATGGATTGGCTTGAATTTGGACAGGCTATGTGGTTGAGGACGATCTAGTATACTGATCTTCCGCCCAAGTGCTAGGATAAAAAACATGTGTGCCAAGCCCAGCTGAGATTCTCATTTATTTAAATTATCTTTAGTAGGTAGGATTAAGTTGCTTTCTGTAGGTAAGATATAAGAATATTACATTCTTAGTATTGCTTTTTCCATTCTGAATGAAATTCTGACATTTTCTTGGTAACTGATTTTTTTTCTTTTTTGGGTGGGGGGAGCTCAAGGTTTTTATTTCCTTGGTCCATAGAGTAATGGGAAGACAATTCATTCAACACTTTTGTGTTTTCTGGATTAAGTACTTATTGGCTCTGACCTTCCCAGTATTTTTGGAGCTCGTTATATACAATGAAAACAACATCATAATGATTTTCTTTTGTATTTGTTTTTCATACAAATTTATTTCCATATAAAGATTCATCTACACATTCACAGTATTTCATTCTTAAAAAAAGAATGGGATGGGGCTGAAGAGATGGCACAGCAGTTAAGGGCACTGACTGCTCTTGCAGACGACCAGGGTTCTATTCCCAGCACCCACATAGCGACTACGAACTTTCCTTGACTCCAGTTCCAGGGGACTCCAAAGCCCTCTTCTGACCTCCGTGGCACTGCATGACACGGGTGCACTCACATACACCAGGAAATACACTCAGACACATAAAATAAAAATAATAAATAAAATATCTTTTTAATTAAAAAAAAGAACGAATGGGATACACATCCCTAAAATGTTCCACTTTGCTGTAAAGATTATTTTGAACCAAAGGTAACTGAGAATCAGCAAATGAGAAAAGTTTTCTGCTCCTCTGCTGCTCTGTCTAAAAGCAAGGTATGCATTTCCCTCTAGAGAAGGGTCCCCACTCTCATCCTGGTACCAGGGGAGGAGAGGCCCCTTATTATGGAATCTGAGGTGTCAGGAGCAAGATGAGACTGCACATCATATCTCACAAAAGCAGTCACAGGTCCCACTGAGTCCCCTAGTCCTAGTTAGCTGCCCACAACTTATCCTGGTTAGAAGCTCAAATTCTGTCTTTTGTTAGACTATATATGTCTCTGAATGTAACTGCTTTTTAAAAAAATATATAAATAATAATAAAATGATTATCTTTTCTCTCCTTAATCTCTCTTTTGTTACATGACTTCTCAATCTCCCAGAAATTAAGTGAAGGAAGTTGAGGAAAAATTTC